GCTTTGCTCAGGTTGCACGTGGGGCTCCCCGAGCCTGCGTGCCCACAGCTGCACCGCCCGCCCCGCCGATGTTTGCTTTGCTGGCGCCGGGCAGGGCTGTGAGCCGAGGGTGGAACCCGCAGCCGGTCCTCACCTCGGTGCAGCCGCAGCGGCGCAGCGTTCGGTGCCTCGCATCGCCGTTCCGCTGCTGCGGGGCTGCTCCCAACCCGGGTGGCTCTGAGGAGCCGTCCTGAATCCCCGCCGCTCCTCACAGCCCCCACGGAGCCGTGGGATGCAAAGCCGTGCGACGCTCGGGTTGGAAGCGCCCTTCAGGATCACGCTGGGTTGGAAAGGAGCCCCCCGGAGCTCAGCCTCAGCCCTGCGGGGTGCTGGGTGACCCCCGCCAGCTCAGGGCCTCATCCACAGCCCCAGGCACCTCCAGGGGTGGCTCCGGGGAAGGGATTCACCCCCCAATCTGCTCCCATCTGTGGTCAGTTTGAAGCCGTTCCCTCCGGTTTGCGCGGCGCAGCGCTCGGCTGCCTCCTGTTGCTTTGGCAGCCCCTGCGCAGCCAGCAGCTCTCCGAACACACCTGAGGCCAGCAGTTCCCACTCCTCCACAAGGGTCTGCAGCATTCACTCGCTTCTCCACGCCTCCTTGGGGCTTTGCCCACCTCACCCCGGTGCCCTCGGGTGCAGCCCCGAGCTCCCTGCACAGCATCACATCCTTGCGCATCCCGCACGGAGCCGGCGCTGCAGCTCAGGGAGCAGCAGAGGTGTGCCTGCAAGCGAGCCCAGCTCCGTGCACCGGGGAGACACACAGCGAATCATAGCATCACAGAACGGTTGGGTTGGAAGGGACCTCAAGGATCACGAAGCTCCAACCCCCCGCCACAGGCAGGGCCACCAACCTCCCCATTTCACAGCAGCCCAGGCTGCCCAGGGCCCCATCCAACCTGGCCTTGAACACCTCCAGGGATGGACGGGGCATCGCAGCCTCTCTGGGCAGCCCGTGGCTGCTCACCCCCACTGCCCATGAGACACACTTTTTCTTCCCCATGTGTAGCTTGCAAAGCATAGAAAGGCGGATTTCTCACTGATTTTCCCCATTCTCTCCCCTCTCAGCAGGTTGTGTGAAGGGGACGCGGCACGAAGGGAGCAGGAGGATGGCGAGCGAGGCAGCACTGAACGGGGCGGTGGTGAATGGGGCAGCAGTGAACGGGGCGGCGATGAACGGTCACAGTGAGCACAGGGACGAGCCGGGAGCAAAGTGCCGGGATGCTCTGCCGGGTAAGCAGAAGGCAGCAGCTGGCAGGGATGCGGCAGCGATGCACCCTGTTGGTGCAGTCAGCAGGGATGCAGCAGCGATGCATCCTGGCGGATCACCCTTGGAGGCAGCTGGCAGGGATGCGGCGGCAGTGCACAGCAGCGGCACGGCTGGCAGCATCGCCGGGGTGTACGTGGAGGCTATGAAGAAGACGATGAGCTTTTACGATGCCACCAGAGAGCACCTGCTGAGCCTGGAGCCGGCGTTGCTTCTCCTCGAGGCGCAGGCGGCCACGGGTGGCATTGCTGATGTGGGGCAGAAGTCACACGTGTCCGTGGCAGAGGCCGTGCAGAGGGGGCTGGTGGGGCTGGAGCTGAAGGAGAGGCTGCTGGCTGCCGAGAGAGCAGCCGTTGGCTTCAAGGACCCCTACACGGAGGAGCAGATCCCTCTGTTCCAGGCGCTGCAGAAGGAGCTGCTCGGGAGGGAGCAGGGCCTGCGGCTGCTGGAGGCCCAGCTGGCAACCGGGGGCCTCATCGACTTGGCCACAGGCAGGCGGCTCCGGGCAGAGGCTGCCTGCGAGAAGGGGCTCCTGGATGAGGAGACGGGGCAGCTCCTGTCTGACGGCAGCGAGGAGAGCAAAGGGTTCCTCGACCCCAACAGCATGGAGAGGGTCAGCTACGCGGAGCTCAGGGGGCGATGCGTGGTGGATCCGGCCTCGGGGCTCCTCCTGCTGCCCCTGCAGCTCACATTTGCAGGGCTGGGGGGGCGAGTGAGCGGCACGGAGCTGCAGGACGCCGGCATCATCAGCCCCGACACGCTCAGGGCTCTGCAGGAGGGGAAGGTGTCAGCCGGGGAGGTGGCAGAGGACGACGCGGTGCAGCGGTTCCTGCGCGGCACAAGGAGCGTGGCCGGCGTGGTTCTGCCCTCCGGGGAGCGGAGGAGCCTCTACCAGGCACTGCAGGAGCACCTCCTGCTGCCCGGCGCTGCGTTGGCGCTGCTGCAGGTGCAAGCCTCCACCGGCAGCCTGATCGACCCCATCCAGAACAGGAGCTTCTCCGTGGATGAGGCCGTCAGGAGCGGCCTCGTCGGCCCCGAGCTGCATGAGAAACTGTCTTCAGCAGAGAGGTCCATCAGCGGCTACAGGGACCCCCGCACCGGGGAGATGCTGTCCCTGTTCCAAGCCGTGAGCAAGGGCTTCGTCCCCAGGGACCACGGCCTCCACCTCCTGGAGGCTCAGATGGCCACCGGCGGTGTCATCGCTCCGGGCCGGCATCTCCGTGTCCCCGCCGAGACCGCGTGCCGCTGGGGGTACCTGGATGAGAGCACCCTGCAGCTCCTCGCCAATCCCACCGAGGAATCCAAAGGGTTCTTCCACCCCGGCTCCCAGGAGAAGCTGAGCTACGCAGAGCTGCTGGCGCAGTGCGTCACCGACCCCAGCACCGGGCTCCTGCTGCTGCCGCTCGGTGACGGAAGCCAAGGAACGCGTCTCTTCCTCGACCGCGGCGCCCAAACGGCTCTGGAGAACACAAAGGTGCCCGTCGCTGTAGGCAAGTTCAAAGGAAAGTCGGTGTCTCTCTGGAAGCTCCTTTTCTCTGACTACATCCAGAGCGAGCAAAGAGCCGCCCTCACCCGGCAGCACCTGGAGGGAGCGCTCTCCATGCGGGAGATGGCCGAGGCCGTCCGTGCCGCTGTGGAGGAAATGGCTTCTGCAGCCAACATCACTTTTGAAGGGCTGAGGGGACGCGTGACCGCCGACCAGCTCCTGAGCTCCGAGATCATCAACCGGGATCTGTTCAAGAAACTGAAGGAGGGGGAAACGTCAGCCAAGGAAGTAGTGGGCATGGACACGGTCAGGAAGTACCTGGAAGGGACGGGGAGCATCGCTGGGCTGCTGCTTCCCGAATCCCAGGAGAAGATCAGCATCTACCAGGCCAAGAGGAAGGGGCTTCTGAGGCCAGGGACGTCGCTGATCCTCCTGGAGGCTCAGGCTGCCACCGGCTTCGTCATTGACCCGGCAGCCAACAAACGTTACTCTGTGGACGAGGCTTTAAGGGCAAACGTCATCGGCCCCGACGTCTACGACAAGCTGCTGTCAGCAGAGAAATGTGTCACCGGGTACCGAGACCCCTGCTCAGGGGACAAGATCTCGCTCTTCCAGGCCATGCAGAAGGAGCTGATCGTCAGGGAGCACGGCGTCCGCCTGCTGGAGGCCCAGATCGCCACCGGCGGCATCATCGACCCCGTGCACAGCCACCGCATCCCCGTGGAGGTGGCCTACAAGCGCGGCTACCTGGACAAGAAGATGACCGTCATCCTGTCCGACCCCAGCGACGACACCAAGGGCTTCTTCGACCCCAACACGGAGGAGAACCTCACCTACCTGCAGCTGAAGGAGAAGTGCGTGACGGAGCCGGGCAGCGGTCTCTGCCTGCTCCCCTTGAACAGCAAGAGGCGGCAGTTTGTGGATGCTGCCACGCGTGAGCTGTTCTGCAGCTCCTGGATGCCCGTCCGCTTCGGGCGTCTGCGCGGAGAGAGGGTCTCTGTGTGGGAGCTGCTGACCTCCGAGTATTTCAGCGAGGGGCGGCGCCGCGAGATCTTCAACCACTACCGGCTGAAGAAGCTCAGCCTGGAGCAGATCCGGGCCATGCTGGAGGAGGAGATGAAGAAGTGGGCCCCCATCAAGTTCCCGGCCCTGAGGGGCAGCGTCAGCGCGTACCACCTGATGGAGACGGGCATCATTGACAGGACCCTGCTGGAGGAGGTGCTGGAGGGGTCCGTCAGCCCCGAGGAAGTCCTGCGCATGGACTCGGTCAGAAAGTACCTCTACGGCTCCGGCAGCATCGGAGGCATCGTGCTCCAGCCCTCGAACCAGAGGATGAGCATCTACGAGGCCATGAAACAGAACATCGTGGTACCCGGAGTGGCCCTACCGCTCCTGGAGGCGCAGGCTGCCACGGGTTTCATCATCGACCCCGTGAACAACCAGAAGCTCCGTGTGGACGAGGCCGTCAAGGAGGGCGTCATCGGGCCGGAGGTGCACGAGAAGCTGCAGCAAGCAGAAGGGGCAGTGTCAGGCTACAAAGACCCCTTCACAGGCAGGAAGATTCCCCTCTTCCAGGCCATGAAGAAGGGTCTGATTGCGGACAAGCAGGCCATGCAGCTGATGGAGGTGCAGATGGCGACCGGAGGCATCATCGACCCCGCGTGTGGCCACCACGTCCCCATCGAGGCCGCCCAGAAGCGCGGGTGCCTGGATGAGGACACAAGCAGAGCCCTTTCCGAGCCCAGCGACAGCAACAGAGCCTTCTGCGTCCCAGACAGCAAGGAGAACGTGAGCTACGCTGAGCTCATCCAGCGTTGCCAGAAGGACGAGGAGTCTGGCTTCCACCTGCTGCCTCTGCTGCAGACGGCCGCTCCTGCCTACACGGATGAGCAAATCCAGCGGCTCTTCCAGGAAACCGTGGTGAAGGAGAAAGGAGTCTCCCTCTGGGCGCTCATCCACTCCGGGTACTTCACCGAAGAGCAGCGGAGGAGCTTCGTGGAGAGGTTCCGTGCAAAGGAAATGTCGCTGCAGCAGCTGATTGCGCTGGTGCTTGGGCTGGTGGGGGAGATGGAAATGAAAGCCCGCACCCACATCGTGCTGGGGGGTCTGCAGGGCAGCGTCCCTGCCGTCCGGCTGCTGGAGGCCGGCATCCTCACGGAGAAGATGTTTGAAGAGCTGGCTCAGGGCATCCGAACTCCTGAGGAGGTGGCTGAAGTGAGCGGCGTGAAGAGGTACCTGCAGGGCACGGGCAGCATCGCTGGGGTGATCCTAGAGGAATCCAAACAGAAAATGAGTTTTTACGACGCCGTGAAGAATAACCTCCTCCTGCCCGGGGTTGCCCTGAAGCTGCTGGAAGCTCAGGCGGCCACCGGGTACCTCACCGACCCCGCCACCGGCCACAGGCTCAGCGTGAGGGACGCTGTGCGGGCCGGCGTCGTTGGCGAAGAGCTCACCGAGACGCTGCTCCGTGCGGAGCGGGCGGTGGTGGGCTACACAGACCCCTACACCGGGAGCCCCATCTCCCTGTGCCAGGCGGTCCGGAAGGAGCTCGTTCCCATGGCTGATGCTCTGCCTTTGCTGGAGGCCCAGCTGGCCGCCGGAGGAGTCATCGATCCCATCCACCACCATCACCTCCCGCTCCAGGCTGCGTACAGGTATGGCTTCTTCGACGAGGACTTGAAGCGAAGCCTCGCGCAGCTGAACGACAGCACCCAGGTCTTCTTTGACCCGAACGCGAAGGAAAACGTGACCTACCAGCAGCTGAAGGACCGGTGCGTTTATGAGGCTGAGACGGGTCTCTGGCTCCTTCCTCTGTCCAAAAATGCAATGTTCTGCGTGGACGAACAAACCGTGGAGGTGCTCAAATCCGTGACCGTCTGCGTCAACGTAGGGCGCTTCAAAGGGCAGACGGTGTCCGTCTGGGACCTCCTCAACTCTGAGTACATCACGGACGGCAAAAGGAGAGAGCTGGTGCAGAAATACAAAGACGAGAATGCCGAAGCACTGCGAGAAATCGTAACGACTGTCACCACCATTATCGCAGAGACCGAGGCACAAGGCAGGAAGTTTGCCTTCAAAGGTCTGCGGAAAAAGGTGTCCGCCGGTGATCTCTTCCGGTCCCAGCTGATAGACAAAAAAACCCTCGACGAGCTCAACCAGGGCAAGAAAACGGTCCAAGAAGTCACCAAAATGGACTCTGTCCGCATATACCTGGAGGGCAGCAATTTCATAGCGGGGGTCATCATCCAGCCGAGCAACGAGAAGATGAGCATCTACCAGGCCATGAGGAAGGGCATCCTGAGGCCGGGCACGGCGCTGGTGCTGCTGGAGGCGCAGGCCGCCACCGGCTTCATCATCGACCCAGAGAAAAACAAGAAATTCTCCGTGGAGGAGGCGCTGGAGGCCGGACTCGTTGGCGTGGAGGTTTATGAAAAGCTGCTCTCTGCAGAAAGAGCTGTGACGGGCTACGTTGACCCCTACACAAAAGCACCCATGTCCCTCTTCGAAGCCATGAACCAAGGGCTGATCGTGAAGAGCCACGGCGTCCGCCTGCTGGAGGCCCAGATCGCCACCGGCGGCATCATCGACCCCGTGCACAGCCACCGCATCCCCGTGGAGGTGGCCTACAGGCGCGGGTACTTCAATGAGGAGATGAACCGCGTCCTGTCCAACCCCAGCGACGACACCAAGGGCTTCTTCGACCCCAACACGCACGAGAACCTCACCTACATGCAGCTCCTGGAGAGGTGCGTTCAGGACGCAGAGACGGGGTTGTACATGCTGCAGGTTGTGCAGGAAGGGGGGAAATACTTCTACGTCGATGAGCTGACGAGACAGGTTCTGCAGTCAAAGCCCCTTCAAGTGAAAGTTGGAAGATTCAAGGACCAAACGGTGTCCGTCTGGGACATCCTCTACTCTCACTATATCTCGGAGCAGAAAAGGAAAGAACTGTTAAAGCAATACAAAGGCAAGACTCTTACTCTGGAAGACCTTACAGCTCTCATCCTCAAAGTAATTGAGGATACAGAGCAAAAAGGAGAAGCCCTCAAGGTTAAAGGACTGCGGGGCGAGGTGTCGGTGTCAGAGCTGTTCAGCTCGGAGATAATTGACAAGGGGACTCTGGAGCAGCTGCAGGATGGGAGCCTGACGCTTGACAGCCTCACCAAGCGGGACGCAGTCAGAAGGTACCTGGATGGCACCGGGAGCATCGCCGGAGTGCTCCTGCCATCAAGGAAAGAGAGGATGAGCATCTACCAGGCAATGGAGAGGGGGCTCCTCTCCGAGCAGTGTGCGCTGGGGCTGCTGGAGGCGCAGGCTGCCACCGGCTTCATCATCGACCCAGTAAAGAACCAGAAGGTCTCCGTGGACGAGGCCGTCTCCTGCGGGCTGGTGGGCAGCGAGCTGCACGAGAAGCTGCTGTCTGCAGAGAGAGCCATGACAGGATACACGGACCCCCAGGTAGGCGCTAAGATCTCCCTCTTCCAGGCCATGAGGAGTAAGGTAGCAGCCAAGGAGCACGGCATCCGTCTGCTGGAGGCCCAGATGGCCACTGGTGGCATCGTCGACCCCGTGCACAGCCACCGCCTGCCTGTGGAGGTGGCCTACCGGCGCGGCCACCTGGACGGGGACACGTTCCTCCTGCTTTCTGATCCCGACCACGGCAGCAAAGGATTTATAGACCCAAACATCCGCGAGAAAAGCAGCTACAGTCAGCTCCTGAAACGGTGCACCAGAGACACAGACACGGGGCTGTACCTGCTGCCGCTCCTGGAGAAAGAGGAGGACTATTTCTACATCGACGAGCGCACAAAGAAAGCACTGATGGCAACCAGGGTGGAGGTGTCCGTCGGGAAATACAAAGGCAGTGAATTGTCGCTGTGGGAACTGCTGTGCTCCGAGTACATCACAGAAGAGAAGAGAAAAGAACTCGTGCAAAAATATAAAGAGGAATCCCACCACATCGTGCAGAGAATCATCGACGTAATATTAAACATCATCAGGGAGAAAGAGCAACACAGAAGCGACGTTTGGTTCCAAGGCATCAGGCAACAAATCACAGCGTCAGAGCTTCTCAGCGCACAGATAATAACAGAGGAAACCATGCGAAAACTCAAGGAAGGAAAAGAGACGGCAGAAGAAATAGCAAAGAAGGAGGATGTGAGACGATACCTCGAGGGAACGGGCAGCATCGCCGGCGTGCTGGTGCCCTCCAAGGCCGACCCTGCCAAGACGGAGAAGATGAGCATCTACCAGGCCATGTGGAAGGGCATCCTGAGGCCGGGGACAGCACTCGTGCTGCTGGAGGCGCAGGCTGCCACCGGCTTCATCATCGACCCAGTAAAGAACCAGAAGCTCTCCGTGGACGAGGCCGTCTCCTGCGGGCTGGTGGGCAGCGAGCTGCAGAAGAAACTGGTCTGTGCGGAAAAGGCGGTCACGGGATACAGCCACCCGTGCACAAGACAGAAGATGTCCCTCTTCCAGGCCATGCAGAAGGAGCTGATCGTCAGGGAGCACGG